CTGGTAGTGCAGTGGGTTAAGTGTTGGGCTGCTAACTAAAAGGTTGGTGGTTTGAACCCAGCAGTCACTCCAAGGGAAACAAGATGAGCCATGGGGCCACTAGGGAACAGGACGACTAGGCTCTAGAGGGTCCCAATGAGTCAGCAATGACTCAATAGCAGCTTGGGCTCTCCTGCTTTCTAGAAAATGTCATTCCTAGAAAACAAATATATAATCTGTCTGTTCACCACTTTTAAGCACAACTCTTAAAACAGTCCTGGGCACAGAATAAATATTTGCTAAATATTTTTTGAGTGAAGGAATTAAATGATCGCTTTAGTGCAGCGGTTCTCAACCTGTGGGTCGCGACCCCTTTGGGGGTCAAATGACCCTTTCACAGGGGTCACCTAATTCACAACAGTAGCAAAATTACAGTTATGAAGCCGCAACAAAAATAATTTTATAGTTGGGGGTCACAACATGAGGAACTGTATTAGAAAGTAACGCTAAACCACTGCTTTAGTGTTAAATAGGTGGTGATGTGATGTAATGGAAGAAAACAGCAATTTGACACTGGACAGATGTGGATTCAAATCTCAGCGGAGCCAATGACCAGCTGAGTGATTTGGGCAAGTCATTAACCTGTACCATTAACCAGCTCCTTGTAAATATGGAATGCTACTATTTAGCCCGAAGGGCTATCATGATACTCAAATGTGATAAAATGTCCAGAAAATGCCAACTACCACAATAGTAACAAAAAGCTCACTGTTATAAAATTCAAGGCTCCTGGAGACCCTATGGGACAGGGTAGAACTGCCCCTTTGAGTTTCTGAGCTGTAAATCTACAAGAGAAGAAAGCCACTTCTTTCCCCCTCCAAGTGGCTGGTTTCAAAATGCAGGCCTTAGGGCTGGCAGCCCAATGTGTAACCCACCACACCACCACCAATCCATAAATGCCAATGCCTTCCCTTACTTTCATTCTTTCTACTGATAGATTATATATGTAAATAATGCTGCTGATCAAATTCCTCTGGGTAGCATAAACATCACTGTTGAAACCATTTGCCAGTGTTGTATTCCTTCAGCCAATGGAGTAGATGCAAAAGCTGTTGTCAGCGAAGATACCTAGAACCCGATAGATAATTCCCATGACCCTGGAGCTGAGTGGTCTCCAAAGGAAAGTGGTTAGCAAGAACCACCCTCACTGCCATTGAATGGGTGCCAACTCAGGGCAGCCTTATAGGAGAGGGCAGGACTGCCTTTGTGGCTTTCCAAGACTGTAACTGTGTCAGGGGTAGCAGGAAACACTGTCTTTCTCCATCAGAGATGGTGGTTTTGAACTGCTGACCTTGCAGTTAGCAATCCAATGAATAATCACTACACCACCAGAGCTCCTATCAAAGTGGTCACAGTTTGTGTTAAATAGGTTGTAAACCCTGAAGAAGAACACATTTGAAACAGTCGCCATCACTTGGATGGGTTCTACAGGAGCCATCAGCTGGCCTCCACAAGGCCCCCACTCTTAGAAGAGCGAAGTACTCTGAGTAGACAGCTCATCCCAATGAATACCAAAAGATAGGCTTGTGACTTTGCTCTTGTGAGGTATATTCATCATGGGACCGTGTCAACCCAACAAGTGAGGTTTGCTTCTCCATCGCTGTTGCACACAGATCTCAGTCCACGAGTTGGTTTAGCCCTCGTGATCTGGTGCACACGTTTTCATCGCAAACGTGTTTTTAAAGCACTTTAAATCAAAAACGTAGGAGCAAATCACAACCCAGATTTAGAGATAACTGGAGAGGTTCCAAAGAAATAAAAATCCAAAGTCTGTTTTATTGAATATAAAAGTGTGAGGCAGCTCCACATTAGAACTGCCCAAATTTTCTTTTCTTGCTTCCCTGTTGCTGATAATACAAGAATCAGAAACACTTTCAAAATTAGCAAGATGTTGGAAACAAGCAAACAAATGCAGGGGAAAATACCAAAATTTTAATGAAGTTGTGGATTTCTAATTAAGCCAATATAGTAGAATAAGATTCCAGGTAGGTACATAAAGCGGAAGTATACAGGTACTACAATCTAAAAGATTTGGAGTTAGCCCAGGAAATCAAGAGCATAGGTTGTTGCTACAGCCAATGTGAATCAACATCACTGTTTGCTTTTCTATAAAACAGGGAAGAGGGCATGTCCTCATCCTATGTTGGGGAGAAGGAAGAACTCAAAGAGGAGAAGCTAATGAAAAGTTCACAACTGCTCCTCAAAGCGCTAATGTCCATGCCAAAGAACTATCCCAATACTCCTGGCTGCGGTGAGTGCTAGAATATTCTGAGCAAATTCAGAGATACATATTAAGTAGACTGTTGTCTCTAAAACATTGATATGGATCTACCAGGGTAAGAAAGAGCCCTGATGGCTAGTGGGTTATGGGTTGGGCTGCTAACTGCTGGATCATCAGCTCCAATTCACTAGCTGCTCTGCCAGACAAAGATGAGGCTGTTGTCTCCTGGAAAGACTCGCTGTTTTGGAAACCCTAGAACGCAGTTCTATGCAGACTCTGTCCTATAGGCTCACAATCTGTGGGAATTGACTTGATCGCAGTGGGTTTCATTTTCTCAGTTTGCCAGGAGAAAGCGAGTCCCTGGGTGGTGAAAATGGTTAAGTGCTCTCCTGCTAAATCTGAACAAGTCTCAGCTGGAAGTCTCAGCTCATGCAGGAGACCCAATGAAGAAAGGTTTGGTGAGCTACTCCCCCACCCCCACCCCCCAAATAATGCCTTTGAAAACTCTAGGAAACACATAGCTCTAATCTGATTTATGTGGAGTAATCACAAATAGGAATCAATTCCATGACAATGGGTTTGTTTGTTTAACCAGGAGCAAGGCATGCAGGTAGGGATCAGGGATATCACTTGTCCTCTCTAAGTGAAGATCAGATGAATCCAGTCATAGCCAGGGAATCCAGTTACACCTCTGCTGTTGAACAATTTCATAGGTGGCGACCAAACCTTAACCCTGGGCCCCAATCGCACCACAAGTGATTGCTAGGAGCTGTAGATTAGGAGTACCACAAGGCTAAAATAGTATCTTCAGGGGTGATATCTTGACATTTAGGCAGTTCATATACCTTTCCTTCCCAGCCTCAGTGCAAAACAGCCCTGGGTACTCTGACATGTGCTGGCAGGTCATTCCGAAACAACTCAAAAGCTTACCATCACACTTTGTGACCCGCATGCCACCAGGAACCCTCCACCAACTTTTTCTTTAAGCCATCTGAAGAAAACCCTTCCTTCGAGATTTACAGCTGCTGGAAAGCACCCCTGACACATGTTGGAAAGAGTTGATCCTCATGCCTCCTATTTTCACCACAGAGCATTAGACACTTCTCACAAGGCACACAGCTTTAAAATTAGAACTGAGAAAAAGCCACAGTCATCCTCCAAGTCCCAGACCACGCCAAACCAGAGCTCGTGCATTCCTCCAATCAGGGATTAAACGACGACGGAATCTCCCAGACAGGATACCCTTGCTTTATTTTGCTGTTGTTGCCTTATCATCCCAACACCTTTTTAATCATAATAACATACTGGAAGCCATGGCTTGTGATGTTATAAATACTTGTTTTCGAGTTAAATTAGACATTTGCTGTTTTCTGTTTTGATAGGAAGGGGCTGTTTGAAGCCTCCTAAACTATTGCAATTAGGTCTAGCTGTTGCAACAGATAAGCCATTAACAGACACATTTGCTGTTTTAGTTTAATATGCTGGGGTGTTTATGCCTAAAGTGCACTCCTCTCAAGCTTTTAAAGCATAAGGCGTATTTTTAAAAGAGGGGAAGAAATCAATCTATTTCTGAAGTTATTTCAAAAAGTTTCCCAGGCTCTGATTTACACTTAGAAAGCAAATCCCTTGAACAAGAAGGCAACCTGTCTAAGAGCCATCCCCATTTACCTATTGCCTCTCTTAAGATGATAACATCACTTTAGCTGACAAAGCCTGTGTTTCTGTTTGACAATCGCAATTAATTACTGAAATGCAACCGGAGATGGAGCCATCTATCCAGACCTATGTTTCAGAGCAAGGAGAGAGAATAAGAGGGGGGAGAGGGGGGAGACAGAGAGAGAGAGGGACAGGGGAAAAAACAGTAAAAGGGATTTGTATTGGGGGAATCTTGGCCAGAGGGTTGTTTTTGAATGTAATGGCTCACACGAAAGCTAGCTGTATTTTATCCACACTTAACTTTCCAACCCTCTTTTCTCTCTTCACCTCACCACAGGTAGAAGGGAGGACGGAGAGACATGAAGGCATCCCCAAAGACAGGCTTCGGTATGTTGGGAATGAAGCTCCCAGGTGAAAGAGGGCATGAAGCTCCCAGGTGTAGGGCATAAAAACTCTTAGGGCAGGAACTACCATGCAGAAATGGATTCCCCTGATGCAAAATCAACTCTGTATTCCCTCAACCAAAAGGGACAGAAAGTTCAGGAAGTGGAATCCACCCTCAATCTTTACCAGAAAGCCTCAGGTGGCGTTCGGTTCCCTATCCATTTTGCCCTGACCCAAAAACAATAAAGTTGGATTTCTGCCACGCAGATGCGTTTGGGGGCGATTTTGAGAAATTCCGCGGGGGGCGGGGGATCTCAAAGCTCCTGCGTCCACTGAGCTATCCTAGTTCTCGCTCGGTTCCCAGCACCCCCAAACCCAGCAGCTTTCAGCCTCTTAAGTGGGGCTTAGGAAGCAGGGACGGAGGCTCCCTGACCGCTGGAAACTCCCACGCTTGGAGCTGAGCATATTCTTGGAAGCGGGACCTGAGACGGGCAGTGGGAAACTTCCTCCCCTGGCCCTGAGATGTTGTGATTCTTAGTCAGCCTCCTGCACCTTCAGCCTCTTCCCCTGAACCACCGCCGCGGGGTTCAGGGACTCTCCGGACCAACGGCGTCTAGAAGTCCAAGGGCGCAGAAAGCTCCCCGTCTCGCCGCGCCAGCCCCCGTCCCACCCAGCTCACCCCCCGGGGGTGGGGTCCTACCTGTACCACTCCAGCCCCTTGTCGTAGTGCCTGTCGAAGAAGTGCGGCTCTATGCCCACCGCCCGCACGTCCGGGTGCACTCGGATGGCCTCCAGCAGCGCGCGGGTCCCCCCTTTCTTGACCCCGATGATGAGCGCCTGGGGCAGCTTCTTCTCCCCGTAGTCGGCGGTGCTGGCGGCGGCGGCGCCCCGCTCGCTGCTCCCGTTGGCCGCCCTTCGGCCGGCGAGCTCCTC